GCGAGTGTCAAAAACCTCAACAGCATCAAGCACCCTGGAAGTGATTGCCATACTGTATGTTTTATTCTGGATGCTTTTGGATCAATACTACTCACGAATGGCGTTATATATGTCGTCCACTGAATAATCTAATTTTCAAAAATAATCCAGGCGAGTTCAACTATTTTACTGGATGATTTTTTTTTTACTTAACATGTATATGTTTTCCGGTTCCTTTTGCTATATATTTTTAAGTGTCCCTAGGCTAAATGCAGTAAATCCTTATGGAATGTTTATAACGCATCATATTCCTGCCTGAAGTTTCACAAGCAGTCTAAACTTAAATTATTTTCTGGTCATGTTCATTATTTTTAAATCGTCATATACGTCAACAACCTGCATGTTAACCTGGCCCATACATACGTTACACTATATCTCCATGTCTTATAAATTTAGAAATCATCTGGATCGCCTTTAACATTTATCAATAAACCCATCATAGTCGTTGTTGCTAATCGTATTTGGGTTTATGGATTGGTTTATCATATTAGCAGCCTAAAATGCGAACATAGTTTAGATAATAAGATTAAAAATTTAGGTACTATCAACTGCACTAGTAAAATAACTAAATCCCTAGGTGGCTGTTGGCTAAACAAACGTTTAAAATCAAAACTCAGTAGCCTACTAGAATTAACACTAAACGAATATTTCTAAATTGAAATTTATAATTAAATTAGGCGTCTCGGATTCTTTAACGTTATAAATTTCTGATGATTTTGAATCACCTAAAGCAACAATACCTATTTTTCTACTGACTAATCCTTAATCAACACTATAACTAGTTAAATTTAATAGTTTCAGGATATCGTCATAAAGCATTGTCATAACTTGACAATCACGTAATATGACTGATAAAATTAATAAAACTATTAACGAAATCGGTCAACAAATTGACTTATAATTACCATTAAATGGTGTTGTTTTCTTGGTATCTTCATCCATCACAGATGATTACAGTATGTTTCTCTATCAGTTGCTCATTCAGTAAATATCTCAAAACCTTGTCAGTCTAATTGATGGTTTAGCGACACAATCATGCATGCAAATAATCAGTATAAGCAGTCGAGCAAATCTCCTGCAAACTGAAAACATCAATGTCGAATTTACCCCAACACTGACTAAGGTTCAAGCCATTATCATAGACATGAGTTGGGAGTGTACTCCCCTTGGTTACAACTTATGTTCTCCCTGATAATCACATGAGCATCACTCACTATTAATCATCTTGTAAAAACTTATTTAGCTAAATACATTTTGCAGCACCACATCACTTCGTAATATGACACAGGTCTAACTGATTTTAATAACTTGTAACCACTATATCTCACTTAAATCGTGTTCCGCCTTATGATAAACTGCATACTTGCAACTAACTTGTATGTCCAATCAGCCGGCAAGTATAAATACAAGTAAATAGTCTGCCACAGATCAGAACATTGAGTCTAGAGCATGTCTCTTACGAATACACTCATTTTTAACGATTTGCTTCTAGCTATCTGTCCAAAATTCACATAATTATCACTCACGTATTTAAATATTGTTTTGATAACCATTCATGTGTATTAGTAGTATTACTAAATTCTATCACGGTCAAGTAAAAATGAGGTTGAGAAAATCTCCCCGTAACTAAATAAACCGTATCAAACTAACTGGAACACTAGTTGGAATTCTTTTCCATGGTAATACTTTTGTTCTCCCAGTTAGCCTACTAATACAGATGCAATTGGAAATCACTTATGGACGGGTTACCAGCATAATTGTTAATTGGTTTCATAATTTAAACCAAAACTAATACCAATATTAACATTTCTACAATATTCATTATTTCAATATTTCTAAACACAAAATAATTACTGCCTATAAGTTAAGTTATTAACACGCATCGTTTTATTATTATTATTATTGTAACCCCATTTTTTTTTAAAGCTTAAATAATCTTCACCCAGATTTTCATTTCAAGCGTTTTAAACATGAAGGCAGATATTTTAAAATTATTACATATATTTCCAGACCAGATGCTGCCGCTTTCTTTTTGATTTATCTTTCAGCTTATCATTACCCCGGGGATTCTTCCTAGTCTTGGTAACCTTCGGCGCACGACGATCCCATCCAATTTGGTATCGAACCAACATCACGTTGATTCTGGTGGGAGAGTAGTGTAGTGGCATTGGACAATAGCCACACAATCCACAAAGCTGTGAACACGAGACTACTCAGAAAATAGATATTCAATATTTAACGCGGAGAAATACCTAAAAATGGAGAAGGCGCGAAAAATGAATTGAATTGACTGGAGTTGATCGAGTGGCATGGGTCGGCCATGCAGGCGTGGTCTCTATTCATATTAAATATATTGTTCCTTCTCTAAACTAACCTTCTTATTCATCATGTATTGGTAATTGATACGATACAGTGAGTTGGCGTAGTCGATGGTGTGACTTCCACGTAAGATCTTATAGATTAGGCAGTTATATCATGACGAATCTACAAATTTAGGATTAGGTCTATTATTAGAGCAGTACTAATATCATAGTAGACTATAATTCTACAGATTAAACTGCAAAACTGTGCATGGAGGTTTAAGATCCAAACTACGGTTCGGACTGATGGACAACTGTCTGGATGAGTTAGATACGCGCCCTCGCCCGTTTGAAACCAAAACAAAGTAACTGGGTAAAATGACGGTTCTATAATTTATCACAAATTTAAGTGCACATTATTACCTAAACAAATATAACCACTCAGCTATCCAACCAATAATTGTTCAATTGATCAAATCTAAATTACAGTAAATAAGAAAGTTGATAAAGGATACAAGAAAATTACCAATCACCACAAATAAATGTTATTCTATCCTGTCTGGATAGATCACGTACAGATTCGTTCAAAAGGTAATAATTGGTCGCTCTATAACACAGAGTGTTTTCAATTCTGGGAGAGTGCTTCAATTCACAACCAAAATGCACAATTCCAGTCAACACAGGTCAAGCAATCAAAAGCAGGAACAAACCAAAATAGCTGCCGCCCAGACTTAACATAAAGTAAAACAACATAAGTGCAGTTCGGGAAGAAACATTGGGAATTAGTGAAGGTGTAGTAAAAACGAAAACTATAATAAAATACAAATATTAACAATTCAAATGTAGTCAAAAAGCTAACAGTGTACAACTAAGAGGATCAGTAGGAACAAAGTGCAAGTATATACATGAAGGGATTTTCACAAACACACAAAGCATTCAAAATGGATCTTACAGAGGGTAGTTAACAAACTCATTCGAAGTAGGGGCTGGTGTTGCTTACTCTAACCTTTTCTCTTTCTCCTGGTAATCGAATGGATTATGAAAACGTCAACAAGCATGGAATACAGTGGACAGCAGCAGCCTCAGCAGCAGTAGGTCTCAACATACACAAAGGGAAAAGCAAGATTCTTCGGTACAACACAACATGCAACAATCGAATCACACTTGACGGAAGATCTTTGGAGGATGTCAGAACCTTCTCATATCTGGGCTGCATCATTGATGAACACAGGGGATCTGATGCAAATGTGAGGGCTCAAATCGACAAAGCAAGAGCAGTATGTCTACAATTGAAGAAGATTTAGAACTCAAAACAATTGTCAACCAACACTAAAGTCAGAATTTTCAATACAAATGTCAAGACAGTCCTGTAGAATTATGGTCTACTATGATACTGGTACTGCGCTAATAATGGACCTAATCCTAAAATTCTAGACTTGTCATGATATAACTGCCTAATCTATAAGATCTTACGTAGAAGTCATACCATCGTCTACACCAACTCATCGTATTGTAACAATCCCCAATACATGGTGTAGAACAAGGTTAGGCTACAGATGGAACAAAATATTTAATACGAATAAAAGATATAAGGTAGCATTCAGCTGGGACCACGCCTGCGTGGTTTTACTGGTATATAGTTCGATTTTGGGTTTGTAGGCTTAGTTTTCTATATTCAATTGATTTAAATAACATGTCTGTGAAGGTAAAACAATAATTATGATACCGGTTTCGTTTAGCATACGTTGGTATCTTATAATTCAGTTCTGTAAATATAATTATAGTGCTTGAAGGAAGTAGTGACGCAAACCAAATTAGTAAGTAGATCTGCACAATCTTCCGCTTCCTACAGTGTGTTTAACCGTCAAGACTAGGAAACGGTCATTTTAAGATTATGCATACATTATAGAGCAACTAGGTGAAGTTGAGAGCTTAGAACTTGTACAGTACAGGGGGGTTTGATCTTGATTTGCCATATTTGTTATATTCCCACTAGCTCAAACATATCACTCGTTTATAAATTCCACGTATGATAGTAGTAATGTGGATGCATTGTTTTAATGTAGCCTTTACCTTGAACGATAGAGAAATTGTAGTTACTCCCATATCAGCCTTCTCTTGTTGAGTATATCGATGTAAATCGATGTGCTAATAAGTAGAAAAAAGTACTTTGGATGCTGCTGTTGTCATGCATTTTAAAGTAGCATTCATTTTGAAAAAAGGTGATAAGTATGTTTGACGTGCGTTTGTAGACTGTACGGCTAGCTCGAACTATATTTTAAGATCATTGCTATTAAACAATTTCCCCAGAGTTAATACGGACTGTAAACAATAAAAAAAACGTACAAACACACCGACCAAAGCAAACTGACGGTTATTATTTGGAAATATGGCGGAAATGATAATCTCCATTTTGTTCTGATTGGTCGCTAAGTAGACTGACAGTGAGACTATAATTTACGGACAGGCTAATCAGATTTAGTATAACAAGTTCTGGAGTTAAGCGTGAAGTCCATTCGTCTATTTGGCTGAATCGAGTTTCGTGGTTCTATCTGATGTCATTTCGTGATGAAAACTGTAAATCTAAATCCTCACCCTTACCATCAACTGTAAATCATAATCTTTGTTCTTCACACATGTTTATGACTTTCATTAAGCTCTAGCAAATTGGACATTCCCAAGGTCACTTTGGCGTCATTCAAAGGTCGTCCTTAAGTCATAGTCTCGTCACGAGTAGTTTTGTAATTGTATTTTAATTGTTATCTAAATCCCACTGTGGTCATTTGGGCTAAATAGTTACTTAAGTGAATGGAAGTCAGATTAGGCTCAATTCAAAAAGAAGTATTCACGAACGTTAACAGTAACTAGTACACTCATCCCTAGCCCCCAACATTTGGGAAACTTCCCCAGGTCTAAGGGAATTTCGGGGTTTTTGCGCCATTTCCCCGAAATTCACTATAGCGGCTTTCTCAAAATGGGCCAAATATTTCCCAAAATTGGGAGCTTGGGATCTAAAGCACATCGATGAATTATAGTTCCAAAATATTGAAAAAGTTGGTAAAATGTTTGGAAGTAGACTTTCTAAAGTGGAAATTGAATAATAATGGGAATCTACTGTTATCAAAAAGTCAGTGGCTTGAAGGCCTGCATGAATAGAGTTCGGTTAACTCCCAGAAAACAATCAAGATGAATATCAGATGGACTAAAAACTAGGCTCTTAAACAGTTATAGGGTCTGGATAACTTGCTGTTGAAGATAACTCTTATTAAAACGACAATACGCGAACCACAGCAGTGAACTTGAATTGATAATCAGGTTTACAATTTCAGTGACTGACTCAAACTACATTCAGTGGAATTACTGTTCTCTGGATGCTTATCATTTAAGAAAGTTGATTACAAAGCACTGAAGCCAAAAATCGTCATTTTACTCATGCATAACTATGATATCGTATTATTAAATTCACTAGAACAGTAGCAGGAGAATATTCTCCCCAAAGACAGATATTTCAAACAATACTGCCTTCATATAATGACAGTAAGAAAGAAAGACCGTCCCAAGAGTTGTGTGATTCGCAATGACCATGACTTTCCTTTTCTAGCGTCGGTATATTGGGACAGATAAATTCAACAAAATCCCCCTTCCGTTTTTTAAAACAGATATTGTTTTATGGAGCTCAAGCAGATAGTTATTAGGCTCTGTAATCGCTAGTCCACTTTCCCCTTCTAATACTTCGTGATGTCTCTTTTCTTGATGTGGGTAATCAGGATTTACGAGCAACGTACCCAAGTTTAGAGACACGGTAATATTTCTTAGCTGTCTAACTGATTTTCTGCATCATCACGCCGTTACAAATAAGAGATTTTATGTGGACAATGATCACTTGGCGGCCTGACCTACGTTAAAATATTTAACACAAAAATCTGGTTTTGAATGGAACTAACTGTGTATCCATGTTTCTTAAATATTCCACCAGGTGTCACAGGATCCATTAATCTGTTTCTATGGAGTTTCAGAAGCTCACTCATTTAGATCCTAGTTATTGAAATGCTGTACTCATCGTGACTTCATAAGGACAGGCAAAAGTCGGAATACCTGTTGTTACTTGCATTTTTTGCTAACATATTGATATAAACAAATAATGAGCTGTTCTGAATACAGCTGTCTTCAAACATTTGCGTGGATTCTTTTCACACATTTGTGGTGTTGTCACTGCCTATATTTATATACTTAAAGGCAGGGTTCAATTACACCAACCAGTAAATCCTGTGGGACTTCTTTTAAGGACGATGTAATGAATATTATCACGTTGTTGAAAACTGGCGACTATGTTGAAGATGGATGACATTAATTCATCCAGTCAACTGAATTCTCATAACCTTATAAAATACCCAGACATATCCTGATTTTTTGTTTCAAAATTACTTTGTACATTTATTTTATGAATTCTTTCTTATTGAATCATATTCTACATACCTAATCTTTTTTACTACCACCGATAAAACTGCTAATATTTAGGCAGTCACTTTCATAATTTCATATTTTTGTACTAATATTATGTGGCGAATTGAACCGATTCACATATGCCCCATGTTTTACGTTGCTTATGACTAACGGACTGGTAAAATACTGCTGTGCTGTTTTTAGGAAAATAATTACTTAATTACAGTTAGTCTCAAGATTTACCTTCTATGAATTGAAAGTCGCATATGTCTCTGAATGATATCCAAGTAGTGTCCATAAAAGTGTATAAGCAAGCCTTTTTCATAACATTTTTGTGGACATATCCTATAAGCTCTGGCTTGTTATTCCTGCATTATATACTATGCTCAAATGTTTTATGTATACGTTAATTCTGGGAATCAACACAATTATCCCATTTTCCTAAATTGAATGACTGTTCATAATTGTTATGTGCTGTTCTTTCATTTCGATTAGTTTAAAACGTTGAATCTGTCATCAACTATGAGTGCAAATATTGAAAAGATATTTCTTAATGTAATGACGTCACGGCCTTTATATCAATGGGCTGATTTCGAAAAATCACTATTTTATGCTCAAGAGGTTACGCGTGTTACTTATGTGAAGGGCGATTTCGAAAAAATGCACACTGATAAAGGGACACGATATAAGTACATTAATTACAAATGTTCTCATTCAACTGGACCATCAAACTCTCCGAATATGAACAATACCAATGGTGTGTAAGTTTTCATTATTAGTTTATCTATTCCCTAAATCTCTTAGTAATGAAGGATGTACTGCAGCATTCCAAGTTCGATGGGTTGATAATTGTTATGTAGTCACCTTTATAAATCAGGAACATAATCATAGTCACTCTTCAAATAATCGGGCGAAGAAAGCACCAGAAAATAAAAGGAGACATATCGATGCATCGAATGGAAAGAAAAGCCAAGGAAATAATCAAAGTTCTAATCATCCAATAGTTATATCAAGTATTCGAGACCAAATAGCCCAAAGTACGATATTGTTTATTACTGCGTAATATGAAATTGGTTGATAGGTAGTGAAACTTTGGACCAGGTTCTATCGATTATCAATCGGAATTCATATGTTGGAATTGAAAGAAATTCTTCGGATCAAGTAACACAAATTACATTAGCACGTTACGAACAAGTTGACGTATATCGTCAATATCCAGAAGTAGTACTTTTGAACGCTGCTTACGATGTGAATTCAACGGGGTTGGTTTCAAATAACCATATGTTTTAAAATAATATTCACATTTATGCACAGATTTTCATTATTTCAATTTGTTGTGACTGACGGTTTTGGTTGTCCTAGACCAATTATGTATTCAATAAGCACTATCCAACAAAAAGAAGAGATAAAAATTCTATTAAATCATTTTTGCGGTATTGTTGGCAGCGTTGATGACACTCGCACATTTATAATGGATTGTGCTATAGTTCAGTTGGATGTTGTACAAAAAATGTTTCCGAAAGCCAGAATCTTACTGAATCCTTTCATTATTAAAGAATCATTTACAAGAAAAGTAGGTATAAGTTATATTCTTTTATTATTGTCAACTTTAGTGCGATAGTCTCACAGCTGTTGCAGTTTTTCACGCAATGATTACTACAGTATCTCCTTTACAGTAAGTGTTTTTTCTTCAATTCCAATTGAACATTAAAAATACATATTATAGATTTGATTATTACCTGGAGAGATTAAAAAATACTAGTATTAATGCATATAATTACGTGGTGAATACATGGATTCCTACAAAGAAAATGTGGGCAGCTTCATATTGTCAGGATGCTGTAACTCTTGGCGCCAGTACTGCTGAAATCATTAAAGGTGTAAATTTCAGCGTTAAAGAATCACTGAAAAAGCTTACTTCTGTTAAAGAAATTATGACTATAATATATAATGAAGCTGGAAAGCAATGGGTTTATCCTAGTATCAGTATCATCTCATCATCATCGTTGTCATTCCCTGGACATTCTACTAATAATCTAAATAATAACAATAATTTATCAGAGAAATTTAAATATATTTTAGAAAAATTAACTGATTATGCAGCAGAAATGGTCTACAAACGTTTAACTAAAGTTGATAAAATCAATATAGATTTCACCAATGAACAATTAGCTTTATGCGCAGATTCTTCATTTGTATATGAAGTTGATCGTGACAATGCTACATGTTCTTGTTCATTCAATATATCGTCGTTTCTTCCTTGTGAACATTTATTAAAGGTGTTTATGGTTCATGGCCTACATAAAGGTAGTGTGATAATTCTTTCTATGAGTAGCTACCTTTCAATTATTTTATGTTATATTCACTTTCTTTTTATATCGGGCTTTGAAAATTTACTAACTTTAGTTGTCAGCAGTTATCATTTAGAGAAAATTTCCAGATCAATCAGGAAAATGTGTACACAATTATTCATTGTTACAACTCATACCTATACAAATTCAAACGATATTACTTTAATTATTGTAATTATTCTGACAAGGATAATTCGCTATGCACCTAAATCCAACACATGGTCGTGTCCTAACATCGTTTCCTTTCAAAAATAAAAAAAATTTAATCCAACTAGTGCTAAATTATACCCCCATTATCAATTCATAAAAACAAAAACCGTTAAATCAGTACTAGTCAACTAGAAAAATGTTAATCAAAAATTTAAAACTTATTAAAGGGAATAAAAACATTTTTATCTGTTCATTCATTCATTCAGATAGAAAACAACAATATACAACTCGATCTTACCTGCTTCGGTTTGGGTGCCCGGGCAGTATCACAGCTCACACACAAATGAAGTGACTTATTTGGCGCATATCTATTCGTTGCCCCTTTGTACCAATATTTATGTATTCCAATAAAATAAATAAATGAAACAACTCGATCTAAGTAAAACTCTACATAAATTCAGTGAAAGATTCATTTCAATAGTTGAGATCATGAGTCAATTAAAGCTAGACCACCATGGAAAACCTGGAAGCACTAAACGGCCGTTTCGTTCTATTGTGGGAATCCTCAGCAATGCGCACCCACGATCCTGCCTCGCGAGATTCGAACCCAGGACCTATCAGTCTCACACCAGGCGCTTAACCATTAGACCACTGAGTCGGGGTTGTGGATGCCCACTGCTGAGTCCCACAATAGAACGAAACAGCCGTTCAGTGCTTCCAGGTTTTCCATGGTGGTCTAGCTTTAATTGACTCATGATCTCAACTATTGAAATTACTGCAATCTTCACAAAAACCCCTTCTGAAAGATTCATTATTTTAATGTTCAGTAAGTTTTTGAAGTAAAATTTTGAAAAAAACAGAAATAATTTTTTTTCTTTTTGTAACAAAACAAACAAAATAATTCAATTTTATTTCTCTGTTATTTTTATAGATTTACTATGTCAAAGTAAACGTTGGCTTCAATGTAACAATCAAAATTTATCTAAACCACCGATAGTAGTAGTTACTGAACCAACAAATCAATCAAGTATTTGTTTAGATTATAAAAAAGCTGTAACAGATACAATTGAAAAATTAAAAGATTTTCAAACACAATATTCGGAACAGGTTGTACTAGAAACAGCTAAACAAATAACTATTCTATTAGAATCAGTATTACCAAAGTCATCTATAATTTTATTAAATAATAAATAATGAATTTTCCTTGATTAAGAGAACAGTTCAATGTTTCTATTTCAACATAAAGTTTCTTGTATATATATCTATCTATATTGATTTAGTTATGAATAGGATGAAATACAATAATGTACAGCAGATCAGTTTTTGTAAGTCCTTGTTTTTCATTGGTTTGTTTTAAATTGTTATTTGTGTAATGTTTCAAATTATCAGTATTGAATTAAGATAATGGCTAGTAAATGTTTACATTTTAGTTCTACTGTGAAACTTGACCCTTAAAAATAAAGGATATTTGTAAGCTACTAGCATTTGATCTTAGATGCCTTCAAATGCATTGGTTGTGTATGTTGGGATTACTGATTGAGCTATGGTGAAGTTAGACATAGGGTGTTATATAAGGATAGCAATTAATCTTCATCGACTGAAATGGTTAAGACATGTATTATTTATGCCCAACCACTGCCTACATCGACGTGCGGTGATGGCGTGTATGTAATGGTTGTCTGAAAGAAATCTAGGGTCGACCTGACTAAAACATATCGTCAGTGTAGATAGACGCAGACTATATGGTTGGAGTCTGTGTTATTATCGTAATCAGTGGCTAGTGATGTTAAGTTGCACGGTTCAGAATTGCTTGTAATGATGAAGTTGCATCCACTTTTTCTCTCCTTTTAGATCTTGCGTTTTTTAGTTGTCATATACTTCTTATTCCAAGAATTGATTCTTCCTTCTTGAATCATATTGTCTGGGTCTAGTCTCTTCTACTACCAATGATACTGTTATTTATTTTACTACTTTGACATTTATTATGATAATTCCATCTCCTTGTGTTGATGTTGTATGGGAACTTGAACCAATACACATAATATGTGCTGGATTCTTTGATTCCTGGTGACTAACTAAATTTTAATTCTACTTTGTTTATTGAATGCATATTCTACGTAGTTTTGTTCTTTTTTTTGGTGGATATGAGTTGACACAAGATTTGAATGGACAACAAAAATTAAACGACTATTTCTCGGCAGACGATTAAAATAATGATGCATAAATGTCTGTTCGTTCGCATTCTCACAATTCATATAAGTATAGTGAAATTAAAATTAACGAAACCTGAAAATAATAATACGAACGTTATAAATAAAATTAAATAAGAAAGGATAAAAATGAATGACTAAGATCGACCAATCAGAAGAGTTCAATAGATAAAAATCAACGTAGTTTGTCAACTAATGTTTCTATGGATATTTCCATCGTTAATAGTTTTGCTTATTTAAATTGATTATCATTTAAGATATAGTGCAAATCAATGATTTTTTTCTTCTGTTTAAACAAGAAGTGTAATTAACACATTTCAAATACTTTTTACAGTTACAGATTTATTATATGTACGGCCATAATCAACGTAGAACTTGGGAAAAATGTACATCAGCCTGAATCGTCACATTATAGCATAGTGAAGTGAAATTAATAAGATCAATGACTTATATAATTAATTAAGTATGCTTGTTACATCTCGTGGAGCGTAGGCCAACAATCAGGATTCTCCATTGGCAATGTAGTTGAAATGGTAAGAGTAGTAGTAACAGTAGCCATGATATTGAGAAAGACTCAACATTGAAAATATAATTTGAGACGAGGAAATGAATTTTAAAGTACCATCTATGATCGAATACTAGTAGCCTACGCATGTCCTGTAATTTAATTCATGTGCTTTCACAAACGAATACATATTTGAATATGTTATCAGTTTTAAATATTTCACTTGACTATTTTAAATAATCACATAAAAAATTTGTTCTGATGTTTAAACAAATGCCCTCACTGAAATAGGTTTGAAAGTATTTAAATCAAGTGTAAGTGTATGATGCATAAACGACTCGATACTGAAATACATATTCATGTGCACTGCTTGTTTGAATTTTCCCGTTGATGCTGCGGACTACAATCGAATAGTCACTTTTAGCATATCCACGTCCTGTGTGAATTGCCCCGAGAGTTCCATTAGGTTACAAGCATTTTTTAATCAGAGTTGCCTGGTGGCTAGTGGTAGTAGTAGTAGTAGTAGTAGTAGTAGACTCGAGAACGCGCTTTCCGTTCCATTTTGGACTTGTCAGCTGGATGTACCTGCATCCCAGAATTGATGTTCATTCTCAGATTCGACACAAACTATGCGGATTTTTGTTTAAATTGAAATTCAAGGGATAAATAAGAGAACCCCATAAGCTTCTAGAAATGTACGACTATTAAGATAAATGCAACTAAGAAGTAATATGATAAACACCTTCAACTGTGGGATTTTCGTACAGATAATGATCAACTAAGTGAGCGACAAAACTCTAAGATAATCTACGAAGGCTGGTGAACAATCAAACTGGCTTTTGAAAGCCGAACCGTCGTACAACAAACAAAATGAGAATATTTCATTTAATGAATAAGATTGTTTAAACTCCGTGAGACTGTCATTTGCAAAATATAGTGCGTAGCTTAAATAAATGTCAATAACTCATGACAATAAATCGACATACATATAAAATACAAGTTAGAAAGAAAAAGACAATAACAAGTAAAACAGTTATATAACCTTTAGGCAAGTACTAACTGGTAAGTACATATTACAAATAGAGTCATTTAGTAGTAAGTGAGCAGGAGTGTACCTGTCAATTAACATCCCTACTGATAACAATATTCACTAATATTAACTTCCACGAAACAATCTCTTCTGTTGTTTGGTATAATAATACACTCGAATTAATTTTGTAAATCTATTCAACGTATTTTTTTTATTTTGTTCGTGTATGTTTTAGATCCCATTATACAAAATTCACAGATTCTACACAGATGTATTCAACATTTAAGATAATATTCTGCTATATAAATATTTTTATCTAACTTGAATAAAACTTGACAAACAGCTGTTGAATGGATAAAAAAAGCCTGTTCATTCTTGTTGTTATCGCTGTTTGTGTTGTTAGTTCTCAAACTGTGTCCACTTATAATTCAACTTCCTGCAACATTTTTATATATCTACTAAATTGTTTTATCAAAATTTATATTGATTTTCTCAATATAATATTTTAGATATTGTAATGTAGTTTTCTCTATATTGTATACAGAGCAAAAATGACTTATTTTATTGTTGAGCTAACCCAACAGTAAATGGTCTTCAGTGATTTGAACTGTATCCAGGTTACTAATTTGTCGCACATAGCTTACTCACATTAGTAAGCAGAAGCTGGAAATCCGAATCAAGCACAAGTTAGTTTGTGTTTAGTAGAGGATATTAAAAAAAACGATCATGAGAATAAGGATGAGTTAGTGATAAGCTGGGAATGTCTGGATAGAGTACACGATGTCGTAGAAATTAAACAGCCACGTGGTTGGGGAAAGCTTTGTTGGAGGGAGTAGATTATGCCATAAGTTAAGGTATCAGCTGACATATCCTTGTCAGGATCAAAAGAACAAATATATATATGGATATATACCTGTATTTTGTGTACAGTACAATTCGGCCTGACGAGTAAGTCTTCCCGTTCGTTCTAGTCTCTCCAATTGCATAGTGAGTTTGGCAGAAGTTAAAAGTGTGTATCTTAACTGGACCGAGCTGCAGAACACAACAGACTGACTGTAACTCAGTAAAGTATGTACAAATTTGCATATGAAACTTAGCTGGACTTGGTGTGAAGCGGTGCTATTCAACTCTCCATTAAGTCGATAAAATGAGTTCGCCACTTTTCCAACACACTGTCCTAACCAAAAACGATGAAAAGCAGTGAGGGAAAAATTTCCAAGCTAAAGTTAAGCAGATTTAATTGGGTTGATTACCGTATCGACTTAAATAATTATCCAGATTAATTGCAAGTGAAAGGAAAAACGACTGATAGAATCACCTAATACATAAATAGTTTAGCGAACCACCTCAAAAGGCAAACTCGGGAGTCAACCCTAAACTAAATGGTACCCTCTTATATTTTCCTTGACATTTATCCATTTAGCTACACTCCAACTACACAGCTTCAGAGTCTGCTGAAGAACGTCGTTGAGATGCACTACGTCACTCAGTCCTCCTGACTAAGAGTATTGCTGGAGCCTTGAGCCGGTGAGTTTGCATCTACTGACATAGCTCAGATTAGCAGTCAATGACTGACTGCATTAGTTGACCTCATTTCACGACACGGCCGTTGTTGGGCTTTTTCCAACCTAGCTCCATACCAGTGGACGCTACAAATTTGTGTAGGTGATAGTTAAGCATGCATGGATGAAGTTAACAAGATAGTGATCGGAAACAAATAGCCACGTTAATTGGATTAATATATAGACAAAAACAAAAGTTTATTATACATAAATCTTATTTATACAAACAAATTATCTTAGAATACATAAATAAATACATATATAATTAAGATAATATTCTATACACATATATCAGACATTACAACATCTTGCGGTGTATTACAGTTTTGTTTTGTTAAAAGATTTCGCATATGCTCAAAACCAGATTCAATAAGATAATGAAATTGTGGATCTTTGACCAGGTCTGTTAATTCATCAGCAGCAAACAATTGCTCTGGGCTTGGTAACAGGGAAATTACATCCACACCTGAAAATTTGATAGGAAAACACAAACACACTGCCCGTATATGGATACAAATTTTAAACAAACTATTTTAGGACAATAACTTATTATCTAGATATTTGACTAGAACTAAATAAGGAAAGCACTTTTTTGGTATATCCATCTTTAAATGATTCTAAATTGTTCGAGTAATGTTGGAATTGGCGCCTGGAAACTCGTATGCTGAGCAACTGGTTCGCATGGACAAGCCGAATATATATAATTATTGAGGATAGTGAAGTTGTGTCATCGATTCGGATCTTGTGAAAGTTTGATTGTACATATCAACTTTCATGGTTATGTGTTCGATTGGAAGTTATTTAACTAGTAAACTAAGACAAAAACGGCTAGTCAGATTAATGACTTGATGAAATTAAAGTTTAGGTAGGAGTATGTATATTATTGGTTAGTATACCCGTGGTTCATATTACTTGACAGTTTTGTCAGTAAAATCAATTTTAAAAGAAAGAAGGAACGAATTGAGCGAAGAAATTTCTTTTCAATTAGTTTTTCATCATGGCTCTACACTAATATATATACGTTTTACAATAATAATATAATACTCATCGAGTGGATACGTTACGTAATAATTACATAATGACATTTAAATTAACATTAATTAATTGGAAGAAAGAGGATTATTAATATTCAAAGTGATCAAGAAGTTGCTAAGTTGCGTAATGTAAGAAACAAAGAAGGAACAGAATTTTAACGGATGGTCAATAGGATGGTAGTTACGTAAGAATCAAGAGATGAATGTTGAGAAGTTATTAAGTTCAAAAGCAATAGAAATAAAATTACAAAAGTTTAAAAAATTACAAAAATTACAAAAGTTTTTAAAAATTAAAAAAATGGAAGAAGTATGAAAAATAGTTTTTTTGAAGGAAATCTTAAACTGATGGCCAGGGCAGGGAAAGTGGTTGTACGAATCTCTTTTGTATGCAAAGGTCAGGTTTGTGAACATGGATTGCGATGGCTTCCGCAATGTGCAAGAGGCGCACTCGTAAACCATGTGGCAAATTAGATGGGATATTGTAGATAACCTTAAAAGCTTTATTCAATTCGACTTGATGACCTGTGTCAACCAAGTGAGAGAGAATAGAACTTTTAATCACTTTTACCTGTCCTTTGTTTAACCACGACAGATGATGTTCAGTAATGCGGTGACGGACTTGCCGAATCGTACGCCCAATATAACTGGCTCCACAGGAGCAGTTGAAACGATAGATACACATAGATTTGGCGAATTCTGGCAGTCTGTCTTTAATGGATGTTCTTATTTTCGGTTGGTTGTAGAAGATGACATTTAATTTGGCAGCATTAAATGTTTTTTGTACCGCTCTTCTTAGTTTCTGAGTCATGACTTCTTCAATGGAGTCATTTATGAATTGTAGTTTTATGAATAATATCTTCTTGGGGACAGTGGGTATTTTTGTCCTTGTTTTCTTCTCCGTCATATGTTTTTCGATGAATTTCATTGGGTACCCATTTAGACTGAGTAGGTTCCGAATATTGTTCAGTTCATCTTCAATAGTGTCTTCAGAACAGATCATTCCAGCACGATGTGTCAAGTTCTTTATTAAGTTCCTTTTGTATCTAATTGGAACTGCACTGTGGAAATGAGTGTATTGACCAGCTGCTGACTTTCTGTGTACTCTTCTTTTTATAGTTCCGTCTGTTCTTCTAGTTAGTTGGACATCTAGAAAAGATATGCTATTATTTTGTTCATCTTCTGATGTAAAGTTAATTGATGGGTGAACGTTATTAAATATATTAAGTAGATTGTGCTTATCATTTTCTTTTTCTAATACTATGAAGGTATCATCTATATAGCGATAATAAGTTGGTAAATGGCTAATTATGCTTTTAAGTGGTCCGTTTTCCAGTTTTGCAAGGAAAATATCAGCCAGTAGAGGGCCCAATGGTGATCCCATGGCAACTCCATCTAGCTGTCTATAGTATTCGTTGTCAAATCTGAATTGTGCATTCATTGTGCATCTGAGAATTAACTGTTTTATCGAGGATGCTGGAATCGGGGTTTCTATACGTCTCTCTGTTAGTTCATTACAAATAAAATCAACTGTTTCTTGTAATGGAATGTTAGTGAATAAAGATGATACATCAAGTGATAACATGAAATTATTCTTGACTGATAGATTTTTTATGTTCTCAACAAATTCAAAGGAATCATTGACAATTTCTTTGTGTAATGGTTTAAGAATTTGCACCAACCATTTTGCCAAATCTATGTGTATCTATCGTTTCAACTGCTCCTGTGGAGCCAGTTATATTGGGCGTACGATTCGGCAAGTCCGTCACCGCATTACTGAACATCATCTGTCGTGGTTAAACAAAGGACAGGTAAAAGTGATTAAAAGTTCTATTCTCTCTCACTTGGTTGACACAGGTCATCAAGTCGAATTGAATAAAGCTTTTAAGGTTATCTACAATATCCCATCTAATTTGCCACATGGTTTACGAGTGCGCCTCTTGCACATTGCGGAAGCCATCGCAATCCATGTTCACAAACCTGACCTTTGCATACAAAAGAGATTCGTACAACCACTTTCCCTGCCCTGGCCATCAGTTTAAGATTTCCTTCAAAAAAACTATTTTTCATACTTCTTCCATTTTTTTAATTTTTTAAACTTTTGTAATTTTATTTCTATTGCTTTTGAACTTAATAACTTCTCAACATTCATCTCTTGATTCTTACGTAACTACCATCCTATTGACCATCCGTTAAAATTCTGTTCCTTCTTTGTTTCTTACATTACGCAACTTAGCAACTTCTTGATCACTTTGAATATTAATAATCCTCTTTCTTCCAATTAATTAATGTTAATTTAAATGTCATTATGTAATTATTACGTAACGTATCCACTCGATGAGTATTATATTATTATTGTAAAACGTATATATATTAGTGTAGAGCCATGATGAAAAACTAATTGAAAAGAAATTTCTTCGCTCAATTCGTTCCTTCTTTATTTACCAAATGGCAAAATGGGAATTTTCACTATATTTAAATGAAAGATGATAATTAGAAGTCTGTTCCCATTATTTATCGATATCAACTGAGCAAATGCAGAAATAAATGTATTTCATCCTTGGAGCTGGATTTCCAAACAGAAAAACAATAAAGCGACCACTTTACCATCCCTTGGAGTTGACAAGTCCATGCTGACTAGGCCTCGTAAATATCTCAACTTAAGCATTTTATAAAACTCGAAGTGCAAGAGACAGGATGAAAAAAAATCGACTTTGAACTTCCACAAACCTCTCATTTAAATGTATGTGTGGCAACGTGAACCGATATACACATGTACCAGGTTTCATATTGCATATAACCAACTGACTGACAGATTACAATGAAGATTATGATAAAATATCATTGGTTAGTGTTGAACTATCATATACATGTGAAGTATGTTCAATGATTAATCTTGTAAATTGCATGTATATTTGTTTCGTA